TAAAATGGATTTATGGGTATTTTTTTTTATTATTTGATTTACACAACATGCCTACCACTTTGAAGATGGAAAATAGTTTTTATTGTGAAACAAACAAGAAATAAGACAAAAAAACAGAAAACTTGAGCGTGCTTAACTATTCACCCTCCCCAAAGTCAATACTTTGTAGAGCCACCCTTTGCAGCAATTACAGCTGCAAGTCTCTTGGGGTATGTCTCTATAAGCTTGGCACATCTAGCAACTGGGATTTTTGCCCATTCTTCAAGGCAAAACTGCTCCAGCTCCTTCAAGTTGGATGGGTTCTGCTGTTGTACAGCCATCTTTAAGTCATACCACAGATTCTCAATTGGATTGAGGTCTGGGCTTTGACTAGGCCATTCCAAGACATGTAAATGTTTCCCCTTAAACCACTCGAGTGTTGCTTTAGCGGTATGCTTAGGGTCATTGTCCTGCTGGAAGGTGAACCTCCGTCCCAGTCTCAAATCTCAGGAAGACTGAAACAGGTTTCCCTCAAGAATTTCCCTGTATTTAGTGCCATCCATCATTCTTTCAATTCTGACCAGTTTCCAAGTCCCTGCTGATGAAAAACATCCCCACAGCATGATGCTGCCACCACCATGCTTCACTGTGGGGATGGTGTTCTCGGGGTGATGACAGGTGTTGGGTTTGCACCAGACATAGCGTTTTCCTTAATGGCCAAAAAGCTCAATTTTAGTCTCATCTGACCAGACTACCTTCTTCCATATGTTTGGGGAGTCTACCACATGCCTTTCGGCGAACACCAAACGTGTTTGCTTATTTTTTTCTTTAAGCAATGGCTTTTTTCTGGCCACTCTTCCATAAAGCCCAGCTCTGTGGAGTGTACGGCTTAAAGTGGTCCTATGGACAGATAATCCAATCTCCGCTGTGGAGCTTTGCAGCTCCTTCAGAGTTATCTTTGATCTCTTTGTTGCCTCTCTGATTAATGCCCTCCTTGCCTGGTCCGTGAGTTTTGGTGGGCGGCCCTCTCTTGGCAAGTTTGTTGTGGTGCCATATTCTTTCCATTTTTTTATAATGGATTTAATGGTGCTCCGTGGGATGTTCAAAGTTTCTGATATTTTTTTATAACCCAACCCTGACCTGTTTGGAGAGCTCCTTGGTCTTCATGGTGCCACTTGGTCTTCATGGTGCCCCTTGCTTAGTGGTGTTGCAGACTCTGGGGCCTTTCAGAACAGGTGTATATATACTGAGATCATGTGACAGATCATGTAACACTTAGATTGCACACAGGTGGACTTTATTTAACTAATTATGTGACTTCTGAAGGTAATTGGTTGCACCAGATGTTATTTAGGGGCTTCATAGCAAAGGGGGTGAATACATATGCACACACAACTTTTCCGTTATTAATTTTTTAGAATTTTTTGAAACAAGTTATTTTTTTCATTTCACTTCACCAATTTAGACTATTTTGTGTATGTCCATTACATGAAATCCACATAAAAATCAATTTAAATTACAGGTTGTGATGCAACAAAATTGGAAAAACGCCAAGGGGGATGAATACTTTAGCAAGGCACTGTATAACAAAAGTATTATATTCAAATTGGGAGGAATAACATTCTTTACCCCGACAGAACAAAAAATAATCATGGTGAATGCCCAAAATGCTACCCTATTCCCTATCTAGTGCACCACTTTTCATCAAAAGTATGGCACTATATAGAAAATAGGGTACCATTTTAGACACAGTCATGGACTTGTGTTGGAATGTGATGTCGGTCTACTTGTTTGTATGGAGACATGGGGCTCTATTCACTGAAGCGTTACAGATTGCGTGATAGGTAATTTCCGACATGCAGCGTTTACGTGAATGCAGTCTCTGCTAACGCAGGAACATTGCCTTTAAATTTCAATCAAGCTGTAAAGCTGAACTTCTGCGACACGGATTGAATAGAGCCTTTAATTCCTAAATACTCACCACAAATACAATGAGTGAGAGGAGGATAATGTTAAAGAAAAAAGCATCATATGAAAATATAAAGGTCTATGAAGATCACACAGCATAGATTATAACTTCCAAGAAGATTGATCCTTGAAGTAAATATGTACATGACTGAAATAGCAAATTACACTAATGTTATAAATGAAATATGTATAAAGCATTAAGTTTATTATAATAATAATAATAATAATAATAATAATAATAATAATAATAATAACAACAGCAATAATAATATAAAGATAAATTAAAAAGTTACAGGCTGTTTTGTGACAAATGAGCATGTAGGCTGTGTTCACACAGGCAGCCCAATTCTGATCTTTTTTTCACTAATTGGTCTTTCGACCAATCAGATCAGCTCTGAACAAGATCTGATGTAAAAATATCTGTGATTGGTCAAAAGACTTGGGCTGCCTGTGTAAATGCAGCCATTGTAAATCAGGACTTTCTCCAAATGTTGGAGAGTTGTGACTTCATTTAACAAGCTCCTCGTTGAGAGAGAAGGGCAAATAATAGGAACAAATAGGAAAATACAGCATGTACGTATCAGTACAGGGTACAGCTACAGGATACCGTATAGATGGGTAAAGTAGATATTGTGGCTTGGTGTAGGGGTTAGATAAAAACAACCTTTTAGCCCAGTTAAAACAATTTCACATGGTGCAGTATGGACTAACACTTTGGACAGTTGTTTTAGGATAAAAGCTTGATGTGACACTTGCTTACATTTTGGGCAAACAACTTTGTTGCAATTTTCAACCATGTCTTTGGTTATAATGAAAGTAAAACACATCACCCTCCAGATTATGTTAAGACCAAGAACTCCATTCATTTGTTAAGATGAACGCTTTGTTTTATATGAAATAAACTCTGTTGTAATGGAACAGTTGATGCCAGATGAGTCACAGTTTAGAAACTAACTAGTGTAATTTATTAAAACAAAATGGACAATATGGGTCTCAGTGTGTCCAAGCACCGATCCACACAAGGAGAGAGGGGAAATTACAGAGTATACAAAACCAGCTGCTTAATATGATACAGTATATAGTCATATATATATTACAAAACAATATAAATCTTAATATAAAGCAATAAATGTTCACAGTAGTTGTTGTAATACCACTTTTTAAAAATCTAAGTAATGGGCACAATTTACAAATAGAATGGAGATATTTGGGTAATATAGGAATAATATGTATAATCTACAGATTATAAATGCTCCTTGGAAAAGGTGGGTTTTACTGAATAAGAAGTGTTGGGTACACTTTATTTGGATAGTCCTGATAGTCCATCTGTAGATGCTCTACAGATGGTCATACTATCAACAATATGTTGATAAGCAACTGCTTGCTAAGGTTACAGTTAGGTATAGAATAAGGGTTAGGGTAAGGGTTACGTTTAGGATTAGGATAAGGGTTAGGTCTAAGGTTAGTAGATAGTTGAAATCTTACTGATAAGTCTGTAGAGCATCTACAGATGGACTATGCAAATAAAGTCCAGATGATAGTGATGCAATGCTTGTTAAGTGAGCTGTACTCTCATACACTGTAATGAACTGGGATGGTCTATATTGAGAAATCTATTGGACTGGATCATGTTGACCTTCAGGGTTGTCCTTGGTCCTCATAAAGTCTGTTCTTTGCCACAATCCAAAGAGATCCAATGAGTGTAGAGTAGAGTGGAGCCAGGGTCTAGTTAATGGTACTGTATTATCTAACAGGGTTTTAGGCAGTAACACCGACAGTGTAGTGTAAACTGGACAGAGGCGCTTTCTTTTTCCTCACGTGTAACAATTTAACAGTTAACAACTCTCAGCAGGATAACAATTAAGACAAACAATTATGAAGAAAAAAATAAATATCAAAAAAGTTTATATCAGTGTAAAAAAGGTAATCAGGTTATTCATTTAACCAATAGTTCTGGCTAAAAAGGCCTCAAGGAAAGTCCGCCAAAGTTCTCTTTGTTCCTCAGAGTTGTACAAATTAAGTTCCTTCGTGTGGTGGTGTGGTCAGTCAGACCATTAACCAGTCAGACCAGTCAGACCAGTAACCAGTCAGACCAGTAACCAGTCAGACCAGTAACCAGTCAGACCAGTCATATCAGAGACCAGTCAGACCAGTAACCAGTCAGACCAGTAACCAGTCAGACCAGTAACCAGTCAGACCAGTAACCAGTCAGACCAGTCAGACCAGTAACCAGTCAGACCAGTCATATCAGAGACCAGTCAGACCAGTAACCAGTCAGACCAGTCAGACCAGTAACCAGTCAGACCAGTAACCAGTCAGACCAGTCATATCAGAGACCAGTCAGACCAGTAACCAGTCAGACCAGTAACCAGTCAGACCAGTAACCAGTCAGACCAGTCATATCAGAGACCAGTCAGACCAGTAACCAGTCAGACCAGTAACCAGTCAGACCAGTCATATCAGAGACCAGTCAGACCAGTAACCAGTCAGTCCAGTAACCAGTCAGACCAGTAACCAGTCAGACCAGTCATATCAGAGACCAGTCAGACCAGTAACCAGTCAGACCAGTCATATCAGACACCAGTCAGACCAGTAACCAGTAAGTCCAGTCAGACCAGTAACCAGTCAGACCAGTAACCAGTCAGACCAGTCAGACCAGTAACCAGTCAGACCAGTAACCAGTCAGACCAGTAACCAGTCAGACCAGTCATATCAGATCAGAGACCAGTCAGACCAGTAACCAGTCAGTCCAGTAACCAGTCAGACCAGTAACCAGTCAGACCAGTCATATCAGAGACCAGTCAGACCAGTAACCAGTCAGACCAGTAACCAGTCAGACCAGTAACCAGTCAGACCAGTCATATCAGAGACCAGTCAGACTAATAACCAGTCAGACCAGTCATATTAGAGACCAGTCAGACCAGTAACCAGTCAGACCAGTAACCAGTCAGACCAGTCATATCAGAGACCAGTCATATCAGAGACCAGTCAGACCAGTGACCAGTCAGACCAGTCATATCAGAGACCAGTCAGTCAGACCAGCGACCAGTCAGTCAGACCAGCGACTCCATGCTCTCAGCAGGACCTGATTGGTCCATGATGACCACCACTCCGTTAGTGTCCATGTAGATGGGGCTCATCCCACTGTCTCTGCTGCTCACCAGGCTCAGCATGGCCTTGTACAGGTACTGGTACTGCTCCTGGAGAGACAGACACACAGGGAGAGAGGAAGACATAGAGACGGGTTAACACTACTGTAAATTACTGACAAATGTTACGACTTCAAATGTTACTTCTAGGTCTATTCTAAGATTGTTGACATGTCAGAATGAGCATTGACAACCACCAAGTGATATTTGTTCCTATGACTGACTGGAGATTTTGCTGAAGTTAAAGAAGTTATTGCTTATTGGCGATTAATGAAGCCTGACAGCACCAATCCTCCTGACTGGGTCATGGGTGAACTCACTATGTCTGTGAAGACTCCCGGCCTCATGAGGTTGATCATCTTAGCCACCTGATAGACATCCACAGCCCCTTCACTCTCCAGCTGCTGAGACAAGGTGGCGAGGGCACACAGAGTCCCTGCAGACACTGCCCCAAACCTACCAGAGACATGGAGGGACACGTTAACACACATAGATACTCCTGATATACCAACGCATGCATACACACACACACACTTACTCATCGTGTATAATGGTGGGTCCGTCTCGGGTCATAGCCTCCTCTTTGATGACGTTGATGAGCTCGAAGGTGCTGCTGAGAGGGGCGTCAGGGTTGGGCCATTTAGGGCACTGGAAATGTCTCACCTCCAGGACATAGTCATCCTGTTAGAGGGAGAGATATTACAGACAGACAACTAGGACATTGACAATACAGTACCGCTACTACAGGCCAGCACTGTAGTTTAGCTAAAGCCCATCTGATGACACTTAGTTTGTATTAATGGGAATAATAAACCTCTAAATGTATTCAAATACTACGGTACTGGACTCTAGTACTGTACTGTTTTAATACATTTAGGAGAAGTTTATTATTCCCATTAGTTTGGATAGCTAGAGCAAATCTGAAAATGGATGGGCTCAACCAGGCTCCAGTCCCACTGGTCCTATCCAGCTTGAAGGATCACTCTGGGACACACATGGCCCTGCCATCTGTTTACAGGTATGACAGGGTCTGATAGGGTTTTATACACTCACACAGGTGAGAGGTGAGTTTACTTGTGAAGGGTGAAAGGTCAAAAGTGAAGGGTTATCGTACCTGCGTGGCCTCCAGGATGAAGTCGTGGATGATGATCTGTTCTTCATTTGAGAGACACAGTCTGTCCTTGCTGATCAGGGTGACGGTGAAAGCTAGGCAGTTCATCGCCTCCTCTCTGCTTGGCCAGTACACAAACTCATCCTCAGCCTAGATACACATACGACAGACATAAAGGTTAGATGTGTGTAATGATATGTGTGTAACCAGGCGAGAACAGTAGAGCTCTACTTGATTATAGTAGGATAAAAAGGATAAGAGACTCATGTTATAACCTTCTGGCCAGCTACTCTACTCACCAAACCATGGTTGTCTGCAAGCATGACGATGATTTGGGCATTGTGGTCCCAGATCATTCTCCAGAAGTCTGTGGTGGTGTGGGGCAAAGGATGCTGGGTAATGATGAACTCATTACTCCTGTAGTAACCCTGTGTGGCCCAAGGTTGAAGATCAATATGTAAGTACTCATACATAGTCAACAACTCACAAAATCTACTATAACATTATTGCCCAATTACTTTTACGGTGTCTAAACATCAGAAGGAATTTATTGTATCTGTTAGGTTTTACGTTTGATCTAAATGAGTTTGAAAGGTTACGGTCTGATCGTGAGGATTACTGTGTACAGGCCTTTGCCTCAATGTCTCAGTATTAATTATTCCTTATAATAAATTATTGACTATTATTCAGTAAGAGGCTTCACACAATAACAGTTTGAAATGCAGGGTAATTATAATCATCAAGGGAACAGAAGATATCATTAGACAGAGTGTGTGTGGTGAGCGTTGGGTGGTGTGTTTGGGGGGAGGGGTATTGCAGTATCATACCATTATGTAGGAGGCATTGATATAGTCTGTGCCTTTCATCCCAGGGAGCGGGGCCAGTCCTACGCGAGCTCGTTCCGCTAGAGCGGGATACAAAACACATTCAATCACATCCCTGGCCTTAGGGTGCCATGATACAGTACTAGATAAGAATGCACATAACTGTTGCAACTACAGCACTTTCCCTATGGCATAATAAGATGGCCGGGTAAATAAACTCAAACTCTTTCTATAATGTCTCGGGGCGAACTGGCAAAGCATGAAACCTCATCTTATCTCACTCACTGCAGTAGATGGTGGGGAATTGACAGAGAAATTGATAATGTAGCCTAGAATAGTATCTATAGAAATACTGTCCTCACATGGAACTACTGAGGAGTTGCGGTTCTTCTCCTTGTTGCAGTCTTTCTGGGCACTGAAACACTCCACGAAGCTACCGTTACACTGGGTTAGCAGCTGGAGAGACAGAGGAAGCAAGACTGTGGTGTGAGATAGAAAAATCTCACGTGAATGGGTTTAATGTTTACCTGATGTTTATTAAATGTGTATGTGACATGTATTACAGTGTTCAGTACACTGTAGCCCTTCAACTAAAAGGCTCTATTCTTTATAGTTTGTAAGACATACAGTATGTACTACACTATGTTACACCAAAGGAGGCTGGGGTTCATCATACCCTGAACTGCTTGTCGAGGCGTGTGCGGCCCCCCAGGCCGGGGGTCAGGATGCTGTTGACGTAACCATGGAGCTGCCAGGCAGGTACCTCTGTCTCACTGCCCAGGATGGCCTCCATCAGGGCATCATGGATGAACACATACTGCTCCTATAGTCCAGGGGAAGGGCAGAGGAGGAATTAGACTGGAGAGGACACTGAGCTTATGGAGAAGATCTCTCTAGCTAGCGTAACATTTCGTAGGAGATTACATTGGTGAATCTCTTTGGCAGTTACTGTAGCTGTATGCACTTGTAGGTATATCGGAGGTGTCATTTGTCACACACACATACGTTACCTCTGTCTGGACCAGGTAGTTGCGTTGTGTGCGGATGTGTTTGAGAAAGCCCCAGACGTCGACTGTGCTCTTGTCTTTGATCTGCTGCAGCATGCTGTCGATGACGATGTACGTTCCTGTCCGCCCGACACCAGCACTACACAACCAAAACACATTATTTACTAACTACCACAGGAGACCCATAGAAGGAGCTGTCTTACTGATTGTAGACAAGACTTCAATGAAACTAGTGGTGTTTCTGATAACTTCTTATAATGAGGAAGATGCACTAGGATAGACCTCGCCCTCTCTGCAGTAAACATGGGCGGAATCCATGTTTAGAGAACATTATTTTTCTAGAGAGCTATTGTACCTGCAGTGCACTAGGACAGGGCCCATGCCAGGTGCGCGTGCTGCAGAGGAGCGCCCTATGAAAGTGAGGACAGGTAGGGTGTACTCCGGCACGCCCATGTCAGGCCACTGGGTGTAGTGATACTGGATCACCATCCGCTCGTTCTGACGCCCCTTCGGGTTGCCCTTCTGACCCTGAAACAACATGGATGACATTTAAGAATGAACTGGAAGTAGTATGTCCACTTGGCAGATGCAAAAATTGAAGGCTGTCGTACAAGGGAAGACCTGCTGGCTAAAGGGCCAATTTCCTTAGGCCTAGTCCAAAAAAACTATGTCAATGGAGGATCTCTATTGAACATGATTCTTAGTGTTTTTAGCCTGGACTAGGCTTAATCTGTGTCTGGGGAAACCAGCCCTAAGCGGAGGTGTCCCCAACACAAGGGAAGAGCACTATGCACAAACATCTCAGTAGTACTGTAGAAGTATTGTAGAAGCATTGGGACATACCTTTTTGACTTTGGTGTTCCGTATGAGGAATTGTCTCAGTGTGTAGCAGGCGTGAACTTTAGTACTCTTCAGAGTAACCACGATGTTGCCATACTCCTCACTGCTCTCTGTGGGCCAGTATTGGTCACATTTCCTCTGTGAAAGACAACAGTATTCATCTCATTTTCTCTGAAAAAGATAACAGTATTAATCTAATTCCATCTGTGAAAGGCAACATTATTAATCTTATCTTCTCTGTCAAACAACAATATGATATGCTCTTTATAAAGCCAGCTGTATATCATCCATACTGAAACACAACAGTAACTCCTACAGTCCAACACTAAATGGCAGAGAGAGACCACCTACCCTTCCTTTCTCTACCAGGTTTGTGATCATGACGATGACACCAGTGTTCTGCTCCCATACCATCCTCCAGAAGTCCTCGAAAGTGGACTTGAGAGGGCCCTGGGCAGCGATGTAGGCCTTGGGATGGTTGTAACCCTGTTGGGAGGAGACGAGGGGGTCAGTGACAGCGGTACACTCACACAGAGCGCAAGTACACATAAGGTGATTACCAGAGCATATATAAAGACAGACAGAATAGGTACTAAATACATCTAAAGCAGTTGGTTGACCTACATCTACATAGTTAGCGTTCATGTAGTCACTGTGTTTAGCATCCTTGCCAGCCAGGGGTCGTAACTTCACCCTACTGTGATCGTCTGGGAGATAGATGAAAGGAATATTAGTCTCATTCTGCATTGCCTTTTTAACGTCACACATGAATATAACAGGCTGTCAATGTTGTTTTGAGTGTGCAGCATGTTGGACTTACAGGCCACAATGTTGATGTATCTGTTTTTGTGCTTGTTGTCAGGGTGATTAGAATGTTCTGCAGTGATCTTAAGGTCCACCGTACAGCGCTGGACCTCCTAGGGAGAGAGAGGTCAAGAGGGGGAGAAAACTATTTATTTTTCAAACAGCAAATTATCTGTTCAGTTAATATTGATTTGTTTGAATTCCATTAGAAACATGATCATTATCATACGGGTTTGTATAGTTGTGTGTGTTCTGTGTGTGTTCTGTGTGTGTACCCACACATCTGGGACAGCTAGCCTAGTGTTGCGGCTGTATGTCTGTTCTCTGTTTGATTGACATAGTATGAATAATGTATGTTCACCTGCACCCACCTGTGTGTTTCTGTGTGTCTGTGTGCATTGTGTTCCCTCTGGGGAGATATTAGCCTTGTGCCTCAACCTGGTCACAGAGACAGTGTTCCTGTCCAGCCAACCAGCAACTAGACCTCTGTTAATTAACCTGCTTCACACTCACCCATCTGCTCCACAACACACACTTCTTTCAGCATAAATATACTGAACAAAAATATAAACACAACATGTAAAGTGGTGGTCCCATGTTTCATGAGGTGAAATAAAAGATCCCAGAAATGTTCCATATGCGCAAAAAGCTTATTTCTCTCAAATTTTGTGCACACATTTGTTTACCTCCCTGTTAGTGAGCATTTCTCTTTTTCCAAGATAATCCATCCACCTGACAGGTGTGGCATATCAATAATCTGATTAAACAGCATTATCATTACACAGGTGCACCTTGTGCTGGGCACAATAAAAGGCCACTCTAGAATATGCAGTTTTGTCACACAACACAATGCCAGAGATGTCTAAAGTTTTGAGGGAGCGTGCAATTGGCATGATGACTGCAGGAATGACCACCAGAGCTGTTGCTTTACGTCCCCGTCCATCCGACACCAGCACTAAACAACCAAAACACGTTACCTACTAACTACCACAGAAGACCCATAGCAGGATCTGTATTACTGATTAGACAAGACTTCAATGAAACTAGTGGTGTTTCTGATAACTTCTTATAATGAAGAAGATGATTTTGTGCACTAGGATAGAACCTCGCCCTCTCTGCAGTAAACATGGGCGGAATCCATGTTTAGAGAACAATATTTTTCTAGAGAGCTATTGTATCTCCCGAGTGGCGCAGTGGTCTAAGGCACTGCATCGCAGTGCTAGCTGTGCCACTAGATATCCTGGTTTGAATCCAGGCTCTGTCGTAGCCGGCCGCGACCGGGAGACCCATGGGGCGGCGCACAATTGGCCCAGCGTCGTCCAGGGTAGGGGAGGGAATGGCCGGCAGGGATGTAGCTCAGTTGGTAGAGCATGGCGTTTGCAACGCCAGGGTTGTGGGTTTGATTCCCACGGGGGGCCAGTAAGAAAAAAAAAATACAAAAAATAATGTATGCACTCTGGATAAGAGCGTCTGCTAAATGACTAAAAATGTAAAAAATAAAAATACCTGCAGTGCACTAGGACAGGGCCCATGCCAGGTGCGCGTGCTGCAGAGGAGCGCCCTATGAAGGTGCTGTTGCCAGAGAATTGAATGTTAATTTCTCTATCATAAGCTGCCTCCAATGTCGTTTTAGAGAATTTGGCAGTACGTCCATCAGGCCTCACAATCGCAGACCACGTGTAACCACGCCAGCCCAGGAGCTCCATATCCGGCTTCTTCACCTGTGGGATCGTCTGAGAACAGCCACCCGGAAAGCCCTTTTGTGGGGAAGAACTCGCTCTGATTGGCTGGGCCTGGCTCCCCAGTGGGTGAGCCTTGCTCCCTAGTGGGTGGGCCTATGCGTTCCCAGGTCCACCCATGGCTGAGCCCCGGCCCAGTCATGTGAAATCCATAGATTAGGGCCTAATGAATTTATTTCAATTGACTGATTTCCTTATATGAACTGTAACTCAGTAAAACTATTGAAATTGTTGCATGTTGCATTTATATTTTTGTTCAGTATATATACTGCACATGCCCTGTACACATTTCATAGTGTTTACACAGACATAGGCAGTAATGTACACACCTACACATTAACAGACAACATAAACCAGAATGAGAATACCATAGACTCACAGACACACACTCCCCCTCAACAACAGGAGAAAGGCTGAGAGAGAAAAACGTATTGTGTTTCTTCCTACCTCAAACTCCTCAGAGAACCCGTGCAAGTTGTTGGAGTAGAGCTCCATGATGTGTTTGATGAACTGCCTGACAGAGATGGCGTCCATGTCATCTGTAGGAAGACATATCACACTTAGAAAGACACACGTGGACATATCACACTTAAGCCTTGTTCACATTGGCAGAGTGAGAGTGTAACACACTGTCACACACAAAATCTAAATCCATTTTAAATTCAGGCTATAACAACAAAATGTGGAAAAAGTCAAGGGGTGTGAATACTTTCTGAAGGCGTTGTAAATAACAATATTAATATCCTGTCTAAAACCTCCCTAGGTTTATAACATCTTCCATATTTCAGACTGACAAATGAAAGGCCAGGTATATTAATATCCCTTCAGCCTGTATCCCTCAGAGTTCCAACGTGAGACTGCGCTATTCTAGCGTGGCACAGCATTACAAATGAACCAGCAATCTGCTAGGTGTTCACTGCCTCTCCCACAGACACTTTCAGAGAATAACATATATGGGGCCAAATGTCTCAGAGTAGGAGTGTTGCTCTAGGATCAGGTCCTCCCTGCCCATTAAATCTCATTCATTGTTATCTAAAAGGCAAAACTGATCCTAAATCAGCACATCCCACACAGCGTCCCACTGAGACTAATAACTACCCCAGTAGTACAGATATGAATAACACATGTAACGCATCTTCATCACACACTGAAATGCCCCACCGATATTCTTACAGATAAAAAGGATCACTGTGTGGACACATCTAGACTTGTTGTCGTTTATGTTGCGAAGAACACTTATTAGCCATGTCACACAGCGCGATGGGAATCACACCATAGCTAGACGAGTCACTGGCGGACAAAGAGCCATAATTGTCTAATATGGGTGTTTAGAGGGGGGTGGCATCTGTGTCAGATGAGCCACATCAGTCCCAAATGATTAATTAGGGAGGAGAGGTGATGGGGAAGCTACTGTCACACAGAGAGAGCCATCAGGACAAAGGAGGGTGTGTGTGTGTGTGTGTGTGTGTGTGTGTGTGTGTGTGTGTGTGTGTGTGTGTGTGTGTGTGTGTGTGGACAGAGGAACCAGCTGCTGGGTTTGTCTGCTAGTGCTGGTGTGTGATATTACAGCCAATACACACTCCCAGCTGGGACCACTGGCAGACAGGCACTCCCTGACTCACTTCAATGGTTCCATGGTTAAAGGTGATTGGGGGATTGTTTAAGTGTCCATTTGTCAACCGTCTTCCATTTATAAACTAATCAATGGAGCTGATTAAAATACTATGGGCAAATTTGGATTTACTAGTCCTTTGCAGCTGTGCACACATTTTGCATCCCTTTATTCAGGAGAGAAGGGATATGATGCAAGGTGGAACAAAGCCATATGCACCTGCAGGCACACACACACTACACCAGCTGTGTCTGATCCAGTCAGAGGGGGGAGAGAGAGCGCAAGGGAGCGGGGGGGAGCGAGAGCGCGAGGGAGGGGGGGGGGGGGGGGGGAGAGAGAGTGAGAGGGGGGGGAGATGCAGGAGCGAGGGGGAGGAGGAGTGCGGGAGAAAGGGGGGGAGAGAGGGGCGCGGGGGGGGGTGCGAGGGAGGGCGGGGAAGGAGGGGGGGAGGAGGGGCAAGGAGCGGGGGGGAAGAGCGCGAGGGAGGGGGAGAGAGAAGAGCATGGGGATGGAGGAGGGGGGAGAGAGCACGAGGGAGGGGGAGAGAGGCAGCATGAGAGGAGGTGAGGAAGGGAGGGGGGGGAGAGAGGAGAGCAAGGGAGGGGGGGGGAGGGAGAGAGTGCAAGGGAGGGCGGGAGGAGTGAGAGAGGGGAGATGGAGGGAGGGGGGAGAGGGGGGGAGAGAGAGCAGGGAGGGGAGAGGCAGGAGAGGGGAGGGGAGGGAGGAGAGAGCACGAGGGAGAGGGGGAGACGAGATCAGAGGGAGGGAGGAGAAAGAGCGAGAGGGGAGAGAGAATGAGAGGAGGGGGAGAGAGAGGAGAGGGAGGGGGGAGGGGACGGAGGAGGGGAGAGACGAGGGGAGGGGGAGAGGAGGAGGAGGGAGGGGGAGAGGGGGGAAGAGAGAGCGAGGGAGGGGGGGAGAGAGCGAGGGAGGGAGGGAGGGGGGAGAGAGAGCAAGGGAGGGGGGAGAGAGTGAGGGGGGAGGGAGAGCGAGGGAGGAATGGGGAGAGATAGCAAGGGAGAGGGGAGAGAGAGCGGGGGGGGGAGAGAGCGAGGGGGGAGAGAGAATGCAAGGGAGGGGGAGAGAGAGCGAGAGAGGGGGGAGAGAGTGCGAGGGAGGGCGGAGAGAGTGCGAGGGAGGGGGGGGAGAGAGAGCGAGGGAGGGTGGAGAGAGAGCGAATGGATGGAGAGACAATACAGACATCAGCTGGGTTCTTTACGTTAACCATCATTGCTTTGAACGGGGCCGTAGTGCCATAGTCCCTCTGAGTCCCTGAGTGTCTGCTCTCTTAAAGGAACGCTATGCACTACACACACAGCAGTCTTCTCATTGTGTTATTGACTAGCTGCCTCTACACTGGGTTCTCTCAGAGAAGAACCCTCTCACATCATATATAGCATGTCACAAGCAACTTTACATGCACTGAGTGGGTAAGCAGCTGAATAAAACAGAAGTAGATAAGCCCAAAAGTATTAAACTCACACTAGAATGTATCCTATCCTTAACAACAAGAGCAGATAATGACTGACAAAGATAAAGTTGATGCCAGTTTGACTTAAAGAGTGATTCTAAATGACCAAATAAACCATTAGACCACATGCAGAATGAGAGGAGATCAGTGGGAGAATATCAGAGCTAGTTCTCCATTTAGATGAATTTGTTATTTCTCTCCTTTGACTTCCTAAGATATGGTTCTTGATTCATTCAGAGGAAATGCTCAGTCTGGTCTATACTTGTCCAGAGGGATCCGACGTGTTAAATCTGACCAGAGAACAGAGAGCGTAACTTGTCTCAACAAGACTCAACCACATGGAGCGGCACAGCTTCAAAGATGAAAATATATATATAAATTATATATATTAAATAAATACACTATATTTTCAAAAATATGTGGACAAAAACATTTTGACAGGAAAATGGTCACATAATGGTTGTGGCTACTATAAAAACCTACCAGGAAGGGGTGGGCAATAGTTTGTAAACACAAAAATATTGCTAAAGCAAGTTGGATTGAATTGGGCCTTCAGGTGTGTTAAGGTATGAAAATGTATGCACTCACTAACTGTAAGTCACTCTGGATAAGAGCGTCTGCTAAATGACTAAAATGTAAAATGTAAAATGTAAGGTGTGTTAAGAAAGAAGGCGTGTCTTACCTGGGATGGGGATGACAGGGATGTTCTCATTGGCCACCACCCTGGGAGAACTACTGTCCTCCACATAGAAGTGAGCTGTCTGGAAAAACCTCCTGTAGAGAAACACAGAAGAGAGGAGAGATAACCCAACATCACCACACAGAGGAGAGAAGACATTTAACCCAACATCACCACACAGAGGAGAGAAGTATCTTTCCTTTTGTACTCCTGAGTGGCGCAGTGGTCTAAGGCACTGCATCGCAGTGCTAACTGTGCCACTAGAGATCCTGGTTCAAATCCAGGCTCTGTCGCAGCCGGCTGCGACCGGGAGACCCATGGGGCGGCGCACAATTGGTCCAGGGTAGGGGAGGGAATGGCCGGCAGGGATGTAGCTCAGTTGATAGAGCGTGGCGTTTGCAACGCCAGGGTTGTGGGTTCGATTCCCACGGGGGGCCAGTATAAAAAATAAAATAAAAATTCACTAACTGTAAGTCGCTCTGGATAAGAGCGTCTGCTAAATGACTAAAATGTAAATGTAAGACATTTAACCCAACATCACCACACAGAGGAGAGAAGACATTTTAACCCAACATCACCACACAGAGGAGAGAAGACATTTAACCCAACATCACCACACAGAGGAGAGAAGACATTTAACCACACAGAGGAGAGAAGACATTTAACCCAACATCACCACACAGAGGAGAGAAGACATTTAACCCAACATCACCACACAGAGGAGAGAAGACATTTAACCCAACATCAACCTTTTCACTTTAAAGATGCACTCCGGGATCTTAAGTACAACAAATTTGTAACATATTGCCCAAATTGGGTTCGTAACATATCAAAATTAAATTCAATTGTATTTGTCACATGCGCAGAATACGACTAGTGTAGACTTTACCGTGACAAGCTTGCGTACGCGTCCTTCCCAACAATCACACAAAATGGATGACGTAGTACAATTAGATGACATTGTACACAAAAATTGTTGCAAGTTAAGTGCACACTCTTAGATTTATATTTGTAGAAGTACAGTGCCTTGCAAAAGTATTCATCCCCCTTGGCGTTTTTCCTATTTTGTTGCATTACAACCTGTAATTTAAATTGATTTTTATTTGGATTTCATGTAATGGACATACACAAAATAGTCCAAATTGGTGAAGTGAAATGAAAAAAAATAACTGCAACCAATTACCTTCAGAAGTCACATAATTAGTTAAATAATGTCCACCTGTGTGCAATCTAAGTGTCACATGATCTCAGCATATATACACCTGTTCTGAAAGGCCCCAGAGTCTGCAACACCACTAAGGAAGGGGCACCATGAAGACCAAGCGGCACCATGAAGACCAAGGAGCTCTCCAAACAGGTCAAGGACAAAGTTGTGGAGAAGTACAGATCAGGGTTGGGTTTGAACTTTGAACATCCCACGGAGCACCATTAAATCCATTATTAAAAATGGAAAGAATATGGCACCACAACAAACCTGCCAAGAAAGGGCCGCCCACCAAAACTCACGGAGCAGGCAAGGAGGGCATTAATCAGAGAGGCAACAAAGAGACCAAAGATAACTTTGAAGGAGCTGCAAAGCACCACAGCGGAGATTGGAGTATCTGTCCATATGACCACTTTAAGCCGTACACTCCACATAGCTGGCCTTTACGGAAGAGTGGCCAGAAAAAAGCCATTGCTTAAAGAAAAAAATACGCAAACACGTTTGGTGTTCGCCAAAAGGCATGTGGGAGACTCCCCAAACATATGGAAGAAGGTACTCTGGTCAGATGAGACTAAAATTGAGCTTTTTGGCCATCAAGGAAAACGCTATGTCTGGC